AAATCATGAAGCCTTCAAAATATTAGATAAGTCGTCTATAAAGGTCGTCTTTTACTCATTCCATCTTAATGTAAACTTTAACAGAAAAACAACTCCAGAACAATTGAATGAATTAACATGTCAAATTTGTTGATTAGACGATTCTTTAAACTATGACGGAGTCTACTATGAAGAGATATATTTTGATATTTGTTTTGTTAAGCCAATAAATTTAAACAAAAAATAAAAACAACAAGCGGAGACCAAAATGCGGGGCGTGGAGACAGAATGGCGGAAGGCTTGGTGACGTCACTGAGGCTGGGAGACCAGTTTTGCGGGGCCTGGAGGTAATTCTGCAAATCCTGAGGTTCGGAGATCATTTTTGCGGGGATCATGGCGCCTCTGCACCCCCTCCCTCGTTGTAATTGTCCGCGAAATATGGATAGACGGACCAAAAGTAAAATCATTAGAAAAAAATTAAAACTTGTGTTCTCCATGACCCCTTCAACGTACACTTTCAACTCTGTCAGCTGATCAGTATAAACCTAGCAGACGGAAAAACTGGAGAAGTAGGGCTGAAATGTACTCAGCAAACAAAACAAGTTTTTTAACATTCAGTTAGACGAGATTAAGTTTGAATTGAGACAAAGAACTTTGAATAAAGAAAACTATACAAGTTTTCATGCTTCCAGGCAAAAATATTTGTACAGCATGAAAAGCATGAATACGCTTGTTTAAAATATGACTTTTTTTACCTGCAGTTATATGTTTCTCATGCTCCTCATGCTTGACCTAAACATAGTATGGTATATTCGATCCTAGAGAAATAAGAAAGAAGACTAATTTACCTGGATTTGTATCTAGGAATGTTACTCTAAGAAAGAAGACTAATTTATCTGGATTTGTATCTAGGAATGTTACTCTGAGAAAGAAGACGACTTTACCTGGATTTGCATCTAGGAATTTTACTCTGAGGAAGAAGAGGACGTTACCTGGATTTGTATCTAGGATTTTTATTCTAAGAAAGAAGACGACTTTACCTGGATTTGTATCTAGGAATGTTACTCTAAGTAAGAAGACGAATTTACCTGGATTTGTATCTAGGAATGTTAGTCTAAGATAGAAGACGACTTTACCTGGATTTGTATCTAGGAATGTTACTTTGAGTAGTGAGCAGTATCCTGGTCTGGTGAGGGGAAGATATGGAGTAATCTCGGATACAGATATACAGGCCTTCAATAATATTCTTGATACAGGAAACAGGAACTAATATTTAGTTCACCACTTGAGAGGGGGGGGGGTGATTTTTGAAGATTTGGACATTAAAAGGCAAGTTTTTCATTCTTTTTGATACTTATTGGCCCAAAAATGCATTGATTTTCCCCTAAAAATAATTTTTCCCACTATTCTACCTTTAAACCCCCAAATAAAAATTTCGCCACGCAAAACTACATAAAATTTCTGTGGGGAAAAATTATTTGACATGATATTGAAGAATTAAAATGATTAACCGTTTGTTATCCAATAAAAAACAATAATTTTAATGCCCACGATGAATGTCAAGATCATGCAATTAATGTTAATAATTCTCCACAAGGTGACATGATAAAAATAGCAAATATACGGATCAAAACATACTTAGACATCACTTTAATTGCATTGAATTCTGATTCATGAAAATAATATTTTGATACTTTATGAGGTTACATCTATATTTATTTCAACTCATCAATCAACATGTTTTCACAGAAACTACGATTATTATGTGACCTTGCCAACGTCAAACTTATAAAAGTACCAGCGTGGGAACCCAGCTTTGTTTAGAAACTAACTTTTGCTAAAAAAGCCAAGCCAAGCTACAAACACCCCTGTGTCCTGCTGAACATTTGAGACAAATAGGTCATTGGGTTCATGAGTTATTATCGGACATCTTATACTGCTTAACAGCCCAGCGTTGTCTAGGGAGCTCATAGTTACTCCTACCGTTTATCTGCCCTATGGTCGTTAATTACGAGTTTAGCTATTTTTCCCTATTAACTTAAAAGCTTAAAACCAACCTAAGAACGTTCCCGTGGTTCTCCCGAGTTCCACAATCAACAGTGAGGCAAATTTTTATAATATGTAATCGAATAAATTTACTTTTTTCATCTTTGTGCATAAAATCAAAACTAGAGGAGCTACGAGGTCACAAAGTCGTGTCAGTGATGATACATACTATTATTTGCCCTCTTTTTCTGTCTTTTTCTCAGAAGTGTTGAAAGGGGCTTGACCAAAAAATACCTTAATTCTAATTTTCTTAGTTTCTATGAAGACGACATTAGTTTGGTTCCTGCAGGTAGAGTGCTGACCGACACTGATGAATTAGAAGGATATAATGTAGACTGGTTAAGGACTGTCAAAGGTCAAAGCAGGTTAATATCATATCATAAAAAATTTTACAAATATTGTTATTATTATTATTATTATTACTACTTTTATTGTTATTGTTATGTTATTCTTTCTTCTTATTTCTTCTTCTTCTTTTTTCTTCTTCTTTATTCTTCTTCATTCTTCTTCATTCTTCTTTCTTCTTTATACTTCTTTATTCTTTTTTCTTATTCTTTTTTCTTCTTTTCTCTTCTTCTTTTTTCTTTTTTCTTCTTCTTTCTTTCTTCTTTTTTCTCCTCATTCTTACTTTTTCTTTCATCTTCTTTCTTCTCTTCTTCTTTTTCTTTCTTCTCTTCTTCTTTTTCTTTCTTCTTCTTCTTTCTTCTTCTTTCTTCTTTTCTTTCTTCTTTTCCTTTCTTCTTATTTCTTCTTCTTTCTTCTTCTTCCTTCTGCCTTCTGCCTTCTGCCTTCTGCCTTCTGCCTTCTGCCTTATGCCTTATGCCTTCTGCCTTATGCCTTCTGCCTTCTGCCTTATGCCTTATGCCTCATGCCTTATGCCTTATGCCTTATGCCTTATGCCTTATGCCTTATGCCTTATGCCTTATGCCTTATGCCTTTTACCTTTTACCTTATGCCTTTCGCCTTCTGCCTTCTGCCTTCTGCCTCATGCCTTCTGCCTTTTGCCTTTTGCCTTTTTCTTCTTCTTTTATATTTTTAATATGCTTATTATTTTATGATTGGAGTCAAGATCTTATTTTTTCAAATTTCCAGATGTGTTTTGAAACCGAGGAGCACAGAAGAGGTTTCAGGTTAAAATATTCCTTTTTTTATGATTTGTTTATGTTTATTTTTAAATTTTATATTTGATTGGTTTTCGTTTCTTATTTTTATATTAATTTGTTTAGAAATATTATCGTACTGCAATAAACAAAGATTAGCTGTTGTTCCTCAGGTAGAAATTAATTATTTTTAGAAAGTTATTTGTTTAATATGTTTACAGTGCAGTTGGTGTACTGTTTATTTTTGGAACAATAATCCTTCTACAAAGTGTAAAATTTTTATTTCTTCGCTGAAATATTGATTAATTATTATAGAGAGAAATAAATGAAAAGAGGGGGGATCTAAAAGGGTAAAAAAATTCTTTTAAAGTTAGATTAAATTTTTTCCCATAACCATTTAAAATTTACTTTTAAGTAAAATGTATAAATCAGCTGCTAAAGAAATTGAAATATTAACACCCTGTAAAAGGTGGGAGGGAACCCCCGGTCGCCATGAGCCTCCCATATTTGCTATTCAACCACCGAGCCTCCGCTATCCAGTTTACCATACTAAAACTTCAACAGTTGTTTACGCTGAAAGGAAGACATTACATTTCTAAAACGACTTCAATTTGCTTTGTTAAAACACTTGATTTTGGAATACCTTTTTTGTTGAATTTTTATTTTTTTATTTAGATAATTCTTCAAAACATTAATTCTGCAATACAAGCTTTATCTAAACATAAAACATTTTTTAAGAAAGGTTTTGCTAAAATCAAAGATTTTAACAAATCTAATCAAATTCACCTTATAATTTGTTTTCCTTATATCTTCCAGTTCTTCCTTTTCGCGTAAAAAAGGTTTAGGATGAAATTTATACTGCATAGCGGAGGCTCGCTGCTGCTTAGCAAATCTGGGAGTTTCATGGCGGCTGGGGGTTCCCTCCCTCGTCACAAATGTGGGTAGAGGGTAATGAAATTTATTTTTTACTTACAAATATATTTTTATTTAGCAGCTAATTTTTGTGTGTTAGGTAAAAAATGTTTTTTTAATATTTTTCTAACACATTTCACTACATTATTTTGTGTATAAATAACATTTCATTTTCCTTCCAAACTACAATTTTTTCTGGTTTTGCAGGGTGGGAACACTGGTTTAGTTGGTGGTTCAGTTCCAGTTTTTGACGAGATTATTCTCTCATCTCAGCTCATGAATAAGATTATAAATATAGATGAGGACACCGGGGCAACTGTTTGTCAGGTTAAACATGTATTTTTTATCTTAACTTTTTCACTCCCCCTTTTTTACATTTTCTCGGATTGAAGGTGACTGGTTTTATTTATTTATTTATTTATTTATTTATTTTTTTATAATAAACTTTAGCCCTTCCCTCTTTTACATATACATATTAATACATTTATATTTTAATCTATATAATAAAGCTCTTCGCTTATATATAATTATATATATGTAAGCTATAGCTGGACAAACGGCTAAACCAAAGTATCTGAATTTTTTAAGGGAACCATTGGTTACCCTGATAAGCTAAAAAAATTCATAATTTATTCCTTGAAAATATTTTTTTTTTCAAAACTTGATTATTATTTAATTCCACGGACAAAGCCGGGGACTTGAGTATATACACGTAGGCTGGAGTAGTGCTAGAGAACCTGGATACTGAGGTAGCTAAACATGGTTTAATGGTTCCTCTGGATCTAGGAGCCAAGGGATCATGTCATATTGGGGGCAATGTTTCAACTAATGCTGGAGGACTTAGACTACTCAGGTTCATAATTTATTAGCATGCATTGAAAAAAACTAAATAGACAAATCAATGTTTAGGATCCATTTTATTCTTGATGCGGATCCAGATTTACTGATGTGTTTGCAGAAGAAGATTTTTTAAATATCTTTATGCTAAAACTTGATGGCACATTAGTTTAAAAAATATCTTTTTTTCAACAGTTCAGATTTGGGCTTTGAGATTAAACAGTTTTTTTTACAGTTTTGGTTAATATTTTGCCCGTTGGATCCGGCTCCGAATCCAGGAGGCCAAAATGTTGCGGATCACACGGATCCGGATCCTAAGCACTTACACAAATATTTTCGCAGAAGAGACAGCTCATGGGGGGGGGGGAAGGTTCCGTGCTCTTCCCGGAAAAATTTAGAGCGCAAGAAGAGAGACCAGGCACCTTCTAATGCAACCCTTTAATTTTGAATTTTAAGAATAGATTAAAATTTGTTTTTGCCTTATTCACTCAAAATGAACATATTTAAAAAAAAATCCAAATCCTGCTTAAACATTTTCCACCTTACACCTTCCCCCCCCCCCCCCCCC